GAGCGTCGGTCCCCGCCCGCGAGGGGCGGCGGGGGTCCGTCAGCGATTGGCGCTGATGGGCGCCGTGGGTTTCCAGGTGGAAGCGGTGGAGGTGCACCGCCGCCTGGAGGAGGCGCGCCGCCGCCTGGAGGACAGCGAACGCGTCGTGAACAGAACGATGGCGCTGCTCGCCGAGGATTGCCGTTTCCGAGGAGGGCCGCCGAGAGACGGCGGCAAGTGAGGAGGAGGAGGCGGCGGCGAGGATCCCCCATCAGGCTTCGACGATGACGGGGATCAGGACGACGAGGACGAGGACGAGGAGGAAGAGGAGGCCAACCCCCGAGCATCGCCGCGAGGTCGGCGCGCGCTGGAATTCGGCCACGCTTACCTTCGAGGGCGGGTGGCGGAGCTCGAGGAGATGATGAGGACTAGGCTTCTGGCGTCTCCTCCCGCAGCAGGCTCTGGGAGCGCAGGTTGCACGAACATCAGAGTCAAGGCGGAGGTCGAGTGACCGAAGTACGACGCTACTGACATTTACTACGACGTAGAGGAGTTCACTGAGGACCTGAAGCGCGTCATGATGTTGGCCTCCGCTGGGAAAGGATACCCTGCCCAGGAGAAGTTGGGGATGCTTCGGGGTGGACTGTCGGGCGTGCCGCTCTTGAGTTTCAAGACCTTCGTCGACGACCTCGAGCTGCGCAACGCGACGCTCGAGAGGGGCACGGATTCCGCGCGCGAGGCGTTATGGGAGGAGGTGGAGGCTTATCTTACACGTTGTTTTCATCGATCTCTTCTGGAACGGCAGCGGCGGGCTCGTGCTGAGAACAACGCCTGTTCGATGAGGAATGGGACGATCCGGGAGTACATGGCCTTCCAGATCGACTTCAAGCGGTGCTTGAAGAACTTGGAGCGGAGTGGCCTGGCCAAGGCTCGCGAGGAGGTGAAGGTGGACTCCATCGAGAAGCTGACGGAGGAGTGCGCGACCCATCTCATGCTGGCCCCATACACGGGCCCTCGTACTGGGACCGTGTACGGGGTCAGCACGAGATGGAGGCGTGACCTGGAGGCCGCTACGGAGATGGCCCGGTCGTTCTCCGCCGTGCAGGACATGAAGCGCGTGGCCTTCGCCGCGGAGGAGATTGAGGTCAACCGCGAGGCGCGGTTCGGCGGCCGCTTGGGGCAAACGAGCCACGGCTTTCGTTCGAACCCCCAAGGAGGAGGAAAATGAGGAGGAGGAGGAGGAGGAGGAGCTGCAGCAGGAGGAGAAGGTTCGCGCCGGTTGCAGGCAGGGCGTGCCAGCACGTGTGACATGCGTGGTGGAGCTGGGCACCTACGTCGAGGCTGCCCCAGCGGTGACCGTCGAGGCCGGGCCGATCCGTCGAAGGAGTGCGCTACTTGCTTGGGCAAAGGACATACGGCTCTGAATCACAGGTTTCCTGGTGTCGGTCTCTGCGAAGAGGCGGACTATCAGGAGCTGGGGTTCGAGGAGGAGTTCGCCGCCGAGACTGCCAGGGACGTCGCGGCCAAAAGAGGGAGCAAAGGCGGGGGGTCTCGTTGGAGCTGGCAGAAGGACGGGGCCTGCAAGTTCGGCGAAAAGTGCCGGTTTCAACATGGGTCTGCTGATCGTCGACGCCCTCACTTCCCTGCTCCGCCGCCCAGTGCAGCAGCGGGTGGAGGTAAAGGAAGAGGAGCTTTGCCAGTGCATCGCTGCGAAGCCTGGTCAGGGTATCCCGAAGGAGGTGGCGGTTGCCGTGGAACAGCAGCGGCTGCTGCAGCTCCACTGACGGCGACCTTCCTGAAATTGGCAGAGTTTACGTCGGGGCCCTCGTTGTCTAGATCGAACATTGGGGCGTCTGGACCTGGAGGAGCAGCAACGGTCATTGGCGAGAGAACCTGATAATACTGAGTGTGATGGGTGATACGGACGTGACTGATGTGCGGTCGGGAAAGCGCTGCGTTCCGCGACGTAGCACTCGGGGAGCTGGGGCCGACTCGAGTCCCGGAAGGACTCAGCTGCTCCATCGGCTGGCCGCGTCGCGTAGCGGAGCTCGGCCGAGGAGCGGTACGCCTTCGACGAGCTGGAGGAGGAGGCGGCCCTGCCGACCGAGGAGATCCTTTTTCCTATCGTTTGCGTGCCTTTAGGGCCGCCCGCGGCTCAGCTAGCCGCGTCGACGCATTTGCGCCGATTCGCGGACATTTTGAATATGCACCCGCGGCCCCGTTCAGAGCCTGGCCGCAACCACAAGTTGTGGATCTCCTCCGGGGGCGCGCGCGCCAAGGCATGCAAGGACACGGGCGCGGCGGCGACGACGATCCCAGAGTCGCTGGTGATGTGCATCATTCGCCAGCACGCCGACGCTGATCCGAGCTCCAGGGACTACCCAGACGGCGAGCACGGCCGCCAATCAGGCTGGTAGGTTTCGCAAGTACGGAGCCCGTGGACATCAAGTACGGCTGCGTCCTTCACACCACCTTCCACGACCATCGCGGCTCCTCGAACACCGTTCCGAACGAGTACCAC